TAAAATGACCACTGGAGACTTTCACAGTAGTTCAGGCAAGATGCAATGAGCTTCTGAATACATCAGTAGCAGTGAGAATGGAGAGAAGAGTGTACAAGTGCAGAGGTGACATTTCCAAGGTAGGATTGGAAGGACTGGAGAACTGATTGACTATTTCGGGGGACAGGGGAGAGGGGATCAAGAGGTGTTTAATATGACTTCCAGCTTTCACAGTTAGGAGGATGGCGGTCTCCAGATGAAGACTTCTGGACTTTTTCAGAGCATGGAGAAGTCACGGGTTCAGGTTGGAACAGGTAGAGTTTGAATTATACATGAGACATTGTAAGCTATAGGTGGACATTTGTTGTCTTGCCTGCTCATTGTCTTTGCCCTTTCAACTGAAATGGCACTGTACGTTTTTTCTTCTTTTAGATTGTCGAGCCATCCTTCTTCATCTGCATGTAGTGCTGGGCTGGGAGAGTGTGTGGCCATGAGAATGCACTTTTCAGATCTCCAACTGGGAGAAGTGTAACTCCTCAGCAGCCCAGCTGCTGAGCTATGAAATCCATCACCCCTCTCTCCCAGGCTTCACTCCCCATGGGCTGCTCCTGGCCACTGACAGCCCAGCAGGAATTTCAGGACAGGATTTTTTTTTTTTTTTTTTTTTAGGATAAATGGATACTCTTCTGATGGGTGACTTTGGCTCAAGGACTCCTCAATGGCCTTGCCAGACTTTCCTTAGAACTACACTGCAGTCAGAGACCCTTCCACCTAGAACTCCTTCCTTCTCACTCCTTCCTTCAGGGTCAGATTTGCATCACTATCTGGTGGTCCTCAGTCTCTCTCAGCTTCTGCCCCATTTTCTCTCACAGGTGTTTTTCATAATAAATCCCTTGCACTTAATCCTGCCTCAGTATCTGATGCTCTGAGGATCTGAACTGGCATAAGGGGAAGAAGGATGGGCTATTTCCTTCCCCAGTGTTTCTTCCATATCCCATCAGCTGTAGGGATAGGCATGTGACCCAGTCTGACTGATCTCAATGATCCCCACATCTTGGCCCAGTGCCTCTTCAGTCTCTCAGTGTGATTCAGTCTCAGACCATTAGTTACTTGGTCCACCTCACCCACAGGCATGGCTGATCAATTCTGAGTGAGGTCTCACAGCTCTGCTGCCTGAGGCCAACTAATTGCAAACGTATATTCTCTGGCTTCTGCAAACTTCCAGACCCTGATGACACACCTCCTCACAGAACATGAGCTCTGGCTTCCCGAAGGGGCCAATGAAGCAACCTAGAAGTACAGGAGACTTCATTACCCATAGGGCACAGTGATCACTGGGAGACAAGAGACAGGAAGTGGCAGGAGAGAACAATCCACTCTTTTCCTTGCTCTGATGGTCTGTTTTAAGGTGTAATTTCTGTATACAACCTGTCTAGAGACATTCTGCGTGGCCAAGTAGGTGGACCTCTCAAGAGAGTAGCCGTGTCTGTTCACAGCTCATTGTGAAGAAGTAACAAACGTTTGCTTGCATTGCTTCCCATCTTTTCCTGCTTCCCCCTCCCCTCATTTTCACTGCCCTGGAAATGTGCGTCCACAAAAGCCTTTGGCACATAATCCCTTCTTCAGGCTTTGTTTTCTAGGAACCCTTGCTAAGACAGGTCACAGTTTTCTGAACAGATGGGCACATGACCCAAACTAAGCTGAGCAAAGCCCTCTGAAAGATGTGAAGCATAGGTACAGTAGAGACAGGACGTTTCTTCTGGAGATCTTGAGCCATAAGGATCTGTGAGTGGCCATCATTTCTGCTTCATGAAGAGAGTCTGCCTGGGCATGAAGGGATCAGTGAATTTTTATTTTATTTTATTTTATTTTATTTTATTTTATTTTATTTTATT